TGCTCCTAATGTTTACATACCTGTATGAAGTCAGAAGCCTTTATAGAAAGAAGAAAATATGGTGTTAAAGTAGAAATGACTCATTTTTCTTAAAATCTGTATCAGAGTAATATTTATTTTGGTTAGAAGAAAAAACTATGTTATCTTTTTTCTTTTTGCCTTGTATGTATTCTACTTACATTTTGAAAAGTGTTTTTAGTTACAAATAAACCTTAAACCTCTGTGTAGGAACATGTGAAAAGTATAGGCATAGTCTCTTCACTTTCTCAGTTACATCCTCTCATGCAAAAGTTCTGATCACAGTTAAATTTCAATGTCTTCAAACAGGGATAAGTGGGTTTTTTAAAGGAGGCAAAGTCCTATAGTTATTTCTATAACCCCAGTGATAGTTTGGTTGGCTGGTTTTAAAAAATCTTATTACACAAAACTGAGATGACCCAGTTTCGAGAATCTCAATTAAAATAAGTGCCCAGGTGAAGCCAGATGGGTAGACTTCATGCAAAATTAGGAAATGTACTTTTCCGCTCCTATCTTTCTTTAATACCTTAATTTCAACCCCTCTTTTCCCAATTCAGGATTTTCCCTAGTCTCTAATCATTTGGATTAATAATTTAAATTACATACCATTCTAAGGTACACTTGAACCAGTGTTTAAAATTAAACTTGTATTTCTTGTTGTGGAACCAAAAGCATCTTCTGGAGGAGACAGGAGATTAGTAAAGGGTGTACTTAGGTGACTTGAGGGCAAACCTGCTCAGTCATTTTATCAAGAAATAGGTGGGATGCTTGAACAGCCTCAAGTAAAGCTTCTCTTATTCCCTGTTCTCCTGACACTGGCCTTCTGAGAGTTGTTAACATTGTCCTCCACCCCTGGGGATGGGACTGCCTGCCCACTTTGTAGGCCAGCAGATCCTAACTTTCCCAATGAGAACTTGGTAAAAAAATAAAATTGTAGGCCCTCATATCAGAATTTTTCTGTTTTATTCTCTGATAAAAGAAAGTACACATGACAAAAAGCTACCTGAATTCATCCAATAGCAGCTTTAAGTGACTATCTAAAGCTTGATATTCAGGGCCGAGCATGGTGGCTCACACCTGTAATCCCAGCACTTGTGGGAGGCTGAGGCGGGTGGGATCACAAGGTCAGGAGTTTGAGACCAGTCTAGCCAATATGGTGAAACTCCAGCTCTACTAAAATTACAGAAATTAACTGGGCATGGTGGCACACGCCTGTAGTCCCAGCCGCTTGGGAGACTGAGGCAGGAGAATCGCTTGAACCCGCGAGGCGGAGGTTGCAGTGAGCCAAGATCACACCACTATACTCCAACCTGGGTGACACAGCAAGACTCCATCTCAAAAAAAAAAAGTTTGATATTCAGTAACAATGCTTGGTCTTTTCCAGTGGATTCTCAGACCATTCACAGTAATTCCTGAGGGCCCACAGGTTAGGGATCCCTCACTATTGAGTTTTCTTCAGGGTCAACTACATTTGATATTATTTCACTTAGCATTTAATTATTTTTCATATTGCACCTTTATTCTCCAGTTTTGAAGTTTAACACAAGTGTAATACGTTTTTTGTCGTTATGTAATTGTTGTGTACTTGATTCCTTAACTTTTCTCTGTTTTCTCTACTTTTTTCTGAACTTTCAAAAAAAAATTAACACCTAAACTGCAAGCAGATTTAGAGAGAGATAACAACCTTAATTGGATTTCTGGTCATATCACAGGTGATAAGCCGTCACAGGTGACAGACTGTGAAATGTTACAGCTTATGCTCCTGACTGGTTGTCCACTCGTAACCTGTAGCAGCGGCTCCCAAATGCAGACTCCCTGCTTCGAGGCCGTGGTTGTGGGTGGGGCACTGAAATATATAGATTCTTCGGTCCCCCTCTAGATATTCTAGACTCACTGGGCCTGGGGTGGGGTCTAGAAATGTTGAAAGTTCCATCGGTTATTTTGATGCACAGTGATGAAATTTGGGAACCACCAAGTTTCTGTACAACCCATATGTCTGCATGTAGTGACATACTGGTAAACCTTTATCTTTTTTGTGCACTGAAGGACCAGCAGCATTGGGCCTATGCCAGCACGTCACCTCTAGGGTTAGACTGCCCTCACGTTCGTTTTTTCTAGGTTGGTTTCTTAGCACTACCAACTTGAACATGAACGGTGTGACTCCTGAGCTCTAGTGTCTTTTTAGGAGGCAGCTTGGAATATTGTCAGTACTGGATTTTAGAGAGCCTGGCTTCTCTGAGTGAACTCTTGGCCTTTGTTCCTCATCTGTAAAAAGATTTTAGAGTAGCCTTTTGCCTTTAAGTGTTTACCATAAACTAGATAAAAAAGCATTCCTCTTTATTTGCAACCCCTATATTAGTGTTATTTCCATACATAGTCCACTTTTCATTAACTGCACTCCAGGTGTCATAGCTGTATCAGCCAGCGTCTCTAGACTTTCTTCCTTCAGTTTGCTATAACAAAGTACCATAAATTGGATGGCTTATAAACAACAGAAGTTTATGTCTCACAGTTCTGGAGGCTAGAAATATGAGATCAAGGTACTGGCAGCTTCAGGTCTGGTGAGGATGCATTTCTTGGTTTCCAGACAACTGTCTTCTTGCTGTATCCTCATATGGTAGAGAAAAGAGCTTTTGAGGATTAAGGACACTAATCCTTTTCATGAGGATTTCTACCCCCTAACCCAATACCTTCAAAGACTCCACCTCCTAATACCATCACATTGAGGGTTAGGATTTCAACATAAACGTTTTGAGGGGATGCAAACGTGTAGGCAGGTAGGCAAACGTATGATGACCAAGAACCGGTTCTAACCTCAGGAAATGAAGCAGTAACAGTAGTATCATTTCACTGGAGAAGTTACTGCCTGTTTCTAGAGGGAGAGCCCTGATTACGAGCTCTCCCTACATTCCACCTTGGGAAAATTGCCATCAGATATCATGTAAAAGTATGAAGTCATCTTTTTTAAACACAGAGTATGACTTCATGGTGTATTGACAATGTTAAAAAATCTCTGGCCGGGTGCGGTGGCTCATGCCTGTAATCCCAGTACTTTGGGAGGCCGAGGCCGGTGGATCACCTGAGATAGGGAGTTCAAGACCAGCCTGACAAACATGGTGAAACCCTGTGTCTACCAAAACACAAAATTAGCCAGGCATAATGGCGCATGCCTGTAATCCCAGTTACTCAGGAGGCTGAGGCAGGAGACTCGCTTGAACCCGGGAGGCGGAGGTTGCAGTGAGCCGAGATCGTGCCATTGCACTCCAGCCTGGGCAAGAAGAGCAAAACTCCGCCTTTAAAAAAAAAAAAAGAAAATCTCTCTCTGTATCTAATCTAAAACAAATTTTTTGGTGGCTTACACTTATAATCCCAGCACTCTGGGAGGCTGAGGTAGGCGGATTGCTTGAGCCTAGGAGTTCAAGACCAGCCTGGGCAACATAGTGAGACCTCAGTCTATACAAATGAAACAGAAAACATTAGCCAGGTGTGGTGCTGTATGCCTGTAGTCCCAGCTACTCAGGTGGCTAAGGTGGGAGGATCATTGGAGCCTAGAAGTCAAGGCTACAGTGACCCGAGATCGTGCCACTCACTGCATTCCAGCCTGGGTAGTGGATCAAGACCATTTCAAAAATAAAAAGTAAAGCAAGTTTTTAATAGTTTTTGGTAATACCCATCACAAAGAGATATTAAAGGATTAATAATGGTGATCTCACTGCTGTTCAATGAGAGAATACTCGTGGGTGTGTGTTGCTCTATAGTCTCCTTCTTTCTCTCACTTAATTCTGAAAACATTCCTGTGAGGTAGACAGTGTCCGAGCTCTTTCTGCCTCTTGGCCAGTCTGGGCCCTGTTCTTCCCATTACCCGCTATTCGGTTGCCCATACTTTCTCCCACCTTTTTTGCCATGTCATGTTTTCTTCCTCAGCTTGTATTCTCCTCTGCTTTTCCTTTGTAATAGCTCATTCCCCTAACCTGTTGCATCTCTCACACCAAATTTCAGACCAAGAGAAAAACGTGATGGGTTTGGGGCAAGTACAGGCCCATGGGTAGGCTTTTTATTCCCTCCCTCTTCATCTCTTCTTTCTCTTAAATGGAGGCATCAGACTTTGTAACCAGTTAGCAGAGGGCATCTTGAAGGAGTTTGTCTTGTTCAGTATCAAAACTCCTGACATTTAACCCTCTGCCTAGTACATGGGCATTCAGTAAATGAGTGAATAAATCCAATTCACATCGTATATTTAGTTAAAAGAGTAGTTTTGCTGGGCGCAGTGGCACTCCAGAAGCCAACACAATGCTTTAGAATGGTGGCCACATTATGGTGTACCCATGTAACAGTGATTTATAGTAACAGCTAACGGGGTTGGAGGAATGTCTTTAAGTATTAAATTTAGAGAACCCAATTATAGAATACATATTGAAATGAAAATTGAATAACCTGTAACTGGATACTTACCATTCTCCTTCCTGTCCCACCTAACATGGTTTATAATGTAAAAAGTATGGCCATCTATTAGATTCTTTTTAAGGTGAGATTATAGAGATACAAGAGCAAGGAAGAACCAGTTAGTGGGTCAGAAAATGAAACTTCTGTGCTTAAGATGGTCATAAATGATGTAGCTCTGAGCAGAAACTGCTGTCATTTGTCACTAATTTAGCTTCTAGGTGCTGAGATGTGTTTCTCATTTAAGTATTGTTTACACTTTCCTACATGTCAAGGAGGTTTGAGAATTGAGGCAAGTTTCCTGCTGCTTCGTAGCTAGGTAGGCTTAGAATGGTTTTAACATTCTTTTATCATCCACTTTACTTACTTGACCAATGGCTATGGGTTTGTGGCAGTTCTGCATCCATTTCTGTACTTGTTTTGTAAAGAGAATCCACACAGTAAACAAGAGAGGAGAGAGGTAATCTTTCCATCTTTTTTAGTACACTGTAAAAATTGGGATAGTGCCACCATCTGCTTATTTGTTGATGTATTATTCACAGTGCTGGTCCCAAAGGTGATAACATCTATGAATGGAGATCAACCATTCTAGGGCCTCCAGGATCCGTGTATGAGGGTGGTGTATTCTTTCTCGATATCACTTTTACACCAGAATATCCCTTCAAGCCTCCAAAGGTAAGAAATCTCCCTGTATGCTCAAGTTTACTAATTCCCACAAGAGAGCAACTGTTGAGGTTTTTCTAAATTTAATTTTTAATCACAAAACCTAGATTTGTCTTATGTCCTAATAGATCTGAGTATTTTAACATATACAAAACACTTCTTGAGGTTGATTTTGCCTTATCTGGCAGAGACCATTCTAGGTGTAAGTGCTTGGTTTTGATGGTGCTTAAAATTGCGCTATTTATAGTAATATTGTCATCAACCTAGAATTAATCCCCCGTTTTCCAGGCCATAGAGAAGGGTTTTAAACAGTTAAAAATGGTGTCAAGCCAGGTGCAGTGGTGTGCACCTGTAGTCCGGCTACTTGGGAGGACTGTTTGAGCTCAAGAGTTTGAGTCCAGTCTGGGCAACAAAGCGAGACCCCAAAAAAAGGAGGCAGGACAGGTCAGGGAGTCAAACAACTAGAGAATCAGAATCTCTTACCAAAGTTTTGGATTCTGTTCTGCTCCCTGTCATGTTTTAGTCTTGCTCAATTCCTTACCTCCAGGCCTCAGTTTTCTTTCTAGGAGAGGTGGGGATTGCCCAAGTCACCCATCTCTTGTACTCACCCAAGTCACCCATCTCTTGTACTCAATCTGTGATTCTCATTCAGTCAGAAATAAAATGCAGTCTTTGGGGATTAGGTAGACTGCCAGATAAAAGTACAGTTGCAGCAACAAGAAGTAATTGAAAGTCACTTTTTAAAAAAACTGGTAAAATTACAGGTAATTTTTACTTTGTGTTTTGGTATATTTCACAAATAAAAATTAAGAGACCCAAATAACACCTGCCCATGTGGCTCGTGTTCTGCTGTGGTCCTTGCCCATTACTGGCTCTGCATCCATGGACACTCGATTACATAGATAGTAAATTCTGTGATTTAGGTAGACAGGATGTCTGTGGGACCTGATGTAAAGGTCAGAAAAAAGCAGAAGTAGACTTCTCTTCAAATTTTGTTCAGCTTTTTGGGTGTAGTCATTGTTTGCTAAGTATGTTGTTTAATTATCTTTAGGTACCTATTATGTTGCACTTCAGTTTTTAAGACAGATTTATGATTTTAAATATTTTAAAGCTTTTAAGTATTTTAAAGCTTACTTTGAGGCAGTGTAGTACTACCAGCTAGCACAAGAGGTCAGCAAACAATTAGCTATTCAGACTTGAAAATGTTAATATTTAAAAGATTTAAAATTGCTAAAGATAAAATTAGGAAGTACTGAACTTACCATCAGGGGACGTAACATTTTAAATGAAATTGACACAGTCCCTGAGATGGTCAGTGAACACTTTCTAATCAAATTTATTAAACAAGTCTATCTCCTTGACAGCTTTAATTAAAACTGCTTTTATTCACCTTTTTAAAAACTACCTATCTGGGAGTTTGTTTTTTTTTTTTTCTTTCTTTCTAATTAGGGTCATTCAGTTGAGTATTTAGTAAAAAGTTTGTTTGCTGTTTAACTATTGTTTGACACTTCCTTGTTTTCCTTAGGTTACATTTCGGACAAGAATCTATCATTGTAATATTAACAGTCAAGGTGTTATTTGCTTGGACATATTGAAAGATAATTGGAGTCCAGCACTAACCATTTCTAAAGTCCTCCTTTCTATCTGCTCACTTCTTACAGACTGTAATCCTGGTAAGGTTAATAATTCTTTACCTTGTTTTATTCTTCCTCACCTGAAAAGTACTTGTTTCCAAAAGCTTTCACAGGACAAAACTAATTTTTCTGCAAAACTTTATGAATATAAAAACTAATCTGCTTTTCAAAGAAAGTTTTAATCGAGAAGTTCAGTCTACTAGTTGAGACATACAACTTCATTAATCAGTATATTCTAGCAACAAGGTATTTTAAACTGAAGACTAAGTTTGCCTTGGGCTTTTACAATTTCAGTTATTCTTCCCTCTATTTTTTTTTTCCTGTTGCTTAATTTCCCATATAGTTCTTATAAAACAAATCATACACTTCTAAATGCCAAGTCATCTGCCTGGCAAGCCTCACCTTGCCTGTGGGGTTCAGTGGGCATGTGCCCATAGCTGGTCACTGAGATGGCACTCAGTTTTGAAAATGGTATTTGTTAAATAGTGACTATTGAATTGTGACTTTTTTGGGACTTCATTTCATTTAAAAAATATTTTTCTGTAGTCCCAGCTACTAGGGTAGCTGAGGTGGCAGGATTGTTTGAACCCAGAAGGTCAAGGCTGCAGTGAGCCATGAGCATGCCGCTGCACAGAACTCCAGCCTGGGTGGCAAAGCAAGACCCTGTCTCAAAAAAAAAAAAAAATGTGTGTGTATATATATATATATATATATATGTGTGTGTCTATACACACATATATTTATTATTTTCTAGGTAAACCAAATATAGATTTAGTTATTAAAGATCCTAAGATTCAGAGAAATACTATACTTAATTGGAGGTCCAGGTTTTGCCTGGCAACCTGGCTGTTTAACCAGTGTAAAGGTAAATAGTGTTGCATTGCAACAGCCCCGAAGACTTCACAGTATTCACGATGCCATAACTGGTGACATTGAGCTAAGGGTCACATGAAGACAGTTGGATGTTCATTGTAGTCTGGACCCTTGACCGTTCCAGTCTCTATTGAACTCAGCCTAACACATAAGAGTAAAGAAACTCCAATCGGGTGTTGTTTATTGGGAGAAAAATGGAATGAACTAAGATACAGACAGACCAGTACACTAAAGCCTGAGCGTTCCCTCTTCCTCCCACGTTACAATTTTTAAATTTTTGATGGAAAAATATCCGGCATGGTGGAGTGGTGTTTCGAAGATGGGTTTGATCACACATACTTGGTTGTACATGTCTGCCCAAGCTGTCACTAATGTATTTGCTAAAGTTTAAAATGTTCTTTTCCTTTCTCCAAAGTAATCTACATACTTTTCTTCCAGCCGACCCCTTGGTGGGAAGTATTGCCACTCAGTATATGACCAACAGAGCAGAACATGACAGAATGGCCAGACAGTGGACCAAGAGATACGCTACATAAACTGGGTTTTCACAATTCTTACATTATTTGTCACAGAAGAGAGCTGCTTATGATTCTGAAGGGGTCAGGGAGGGTGGGAGTTGGTAAAGAGTAGGGTATTTCTATAACAGATATTATTCAGTCTTATTTCCTAAGATTTTGTTGTAACTTAAGGTATCTTGCTACAGTAGACAGAATTGGTAATAGCAACTTTTAAAATTGTCATTAGTTCTGCAATATTAGCTGAAATGTAGTACAGAAAAGAATGTACATTTAGACATTTGGGTTCAGTTGCTTGTAGTCTGTAAATTTAAAACAGCTTAATTTTGTACAGGTTACACATATGGCCATTTATGTAAAGTCCCTCTAAGACTACATACTTTTTGTTTAAAACAGAATTGGAATTTGTTTTCCCTTCTTGGAAGGGAACATTGATATTTAACAGAGTTTTTAGAGACTGTCATCTCATATATATAAAATGGACACGTGGCTGTAAAACACCATATAGGAGATGAGTAATGTGTTTTATTTTATATGCCAATCTACTTTGTTTAAAAAAGGTTTAAATCAGGACTTGTGAAAACCTGTAGTGAAATACCTTAAGCTGTTAACTGTAAGGCGTGGAATAGGAGTTGCTCAGTGGATTGGTTATATGTTGTGGACTACTTAAGTCTGCATTTGTTACTGTGCTAATAAACAATATTAAAAACCGCCTACTACTGCTGTGTTCATTTACTTTTATTTTGCCTTTTGGTTGCTGTTTGCAGATTCTTTTGAAATCGATAGGTATCTGCTTCTAAAACAAGCGAAAAATAATGCATATTTAGTAGGTATTATTTACCCATATTAGGATCTGTACTTTACAAAGCTATAGATGTTGAGGTATCCTAGACAAGGTTAAATAATCTACCCCATTTAGGCTTCAAAGACGAACCCTACTGCGTTTTTTTAAAAGCGTTTTCTGACTTGCAGATGCTGTAGTAGCAAGTACATGAGAAATGGGTTCTGTCAGGGATAAACTGGTACACTGCCGTAGGGGGCATTTTGGCAGTACCTAAGTATACACATGGCATGACCCAGCAGTGCTGTTTCTGTGTGTCTCTTTCATTACAGAATTTAAAAAGAATTGGTAACTCTGTCTGTACTAATATAGACTAAGTTGCATTAGCAGGAAACAAAACAAACTGGAAGGTACTTATTTAAAAATCATTATGAAAGCATTTGTCCATCTATGTAACATGTATGGAGGGAAAAGCTAGATTAATATTCAATAACTGGGGGAAAAGGTAAGGGGTGAGTTAGTGTCTGAGTGGTGATTTTTTGACCAAAAAATGAATTTATGATGAGAAATTTTGAATTCTACTGTAGCAGCAATAGCTGATTTATAAGTATTGTCTTTTATATGTAGTTCTTCACTTGAGCTCATGAAAAAAAGTATTCCATTTAAGATGTTACAAATTACTTGATGTTTTAATATGTTCTTTGCTGAACAGCTTATTTTACATTTCAATCAAAATAGTTATTTCACAGATGAAACCACTAGCTTGCTTACTTCCTTTTAAATTAATAAAGTTACAGTCAGCCACATTGCTCAAGTCTTGCCAAAATCTTTAGAGAAACAACACAAATTCAGACATCTAACTTAGACCATCTAGAGCCCAGTATTTTTGATACTTTCACTGTATATGACTAGTTTTCTAGAAATCTATTCCAGAAGATACAGTCTTCCTTCCAGAAAATACAGCTTTACTGTCCGTAAGTGCCTAATCATTTTCAAGGGGAGGAGCAAACAGTTTGCCCTCAAGTATCTGGTCTATCAACAGGGATCTGGCTGAAGAAAAAACGGCCTTAGAGTGTGATGAACCTACTTACGCTACCTGGTACCTCAAATCATGCTAAACATTCTAATTTGACCCTAAATCATGGGTCTTAGTCTGTTTAGCAAAATCTCCACAAGATGAAATTTAGCTTACTACCCCAAACTGTTCAATGTTTTGGGTCCAATTTAGACATAAAAAGTGTTCTATAATCCTAGACGTTAGATAAATGAACTTTTTAAAAACAAAGTCATGTCTGAGCTTAGAAGTTTGCATAATGTAACAGAATGATTTATGGTATCTTCTGAAACAGCTTGGGGATAGGGGGAAGTTACACATAGGTGCATTTGCATAACTGTCCAAACTTTATTTTACTGTTTTCACAAGTACAACATAAATAACAAAGGTGCTAATTTCAAAGACAGGTTTCGAACAATGAGAATAAGAATATATTATTTCATAACAGGCAATAATAACCTTAGCCCAAATACTTTTAACATCTAAAGTGCATTAAATGACTTCCTTGGGAATTTTCCTGAGGACCAAAGGTAGATACAAATGGCCTATTTTAAATAGTGATATTACTCCATGTTCACAGACACCTAAAGGCAGTCACTATTCAACATACAATTGTGAAATTACTGATTTTTAGTTCTCAGAACTAGAGTTCCCTTTGTTTTTCCTCCCAGGCAAAGGAAAGCTTGATTTGCTCTGGGGTTGAGAAAGTTTACTGGCTAATAAAGTGAATGGTTCAATCAGAGTTTTCCGATCTGTAACAGTCACCTCCCACAGTCTCACTTTCTCACTTTTTGCCCACTGCTGTGCCACTTCAGCGTCCACTTGTCTCTGCTCAGAAAGGTCGATTTTGTTTCCTAATACAACAATTGCTACCTGAAAGAAAACGGATTGAAAAGATCATACTAGTACTTTGCCAACATCAATTCCTGGGCAAAATGGAGACATAAGGAAAACTGTTCCACTTAACAGACCTGCTTCATTAAACTGATTCTCAAGTGTGACTGTATATTAGGGTATCACCTTACTCCTTAATGCGTTTTTGTTAAAAATGCAGATGCTCGGCTGGGCGCAGTGACTCATGCCTGTATTCCCAGCATTTTGGGAGGCCGAGGCTCATGGATCTCTTGAGATCAGGAGTTCGAGACCACCCTGGCCAAGAGGGTGAAACCCCATCTCTACTGAAAATAAGAAAATTAGCCGGGCATGGTGGCATGCGCCTGTAGTCCCCTCTACTTGGGAGGCTGACGCAGGAGAATCGCTTGAACCTGGGAGGCAGAGGTTGCAGTAAGCCGAGATGGCACCACTGCACTCCAGGCTGGGTGACTGCACGAAACTCCATCTCCCAAAAAAAAAAAAAAAAAAAAAGCAGATGCTCTGTAGTTTGCTAACTGTAAAAAAAATTAGCTCAGGTATGAATGGAAGATAGACTTGGGAAATAGGCATCTAGGATACAGACTGGTTTCAATGAGTCTGTATTGCAGTTTGGCTATACTTGATGTATGAGAGATTTGCAACATAGTACTTCAAAATAAGACAACTGGAGCTGTGGGAGTTCTGTATCCATGAGAACAGGAATTGTTATGTTCACATTATTCCCAATACTAGACTGCTAAGGATCTGTTAAATGTATGGGCCAAAAAAGTATGTGCCAACAGGAACATTTTACACGAATGCTTACTATACACCAGGCACTAAAGGTGACCAGAATACAGCAGTCAAAGCTTGGGGGAAGGAGAAGAGACCCCAAACCAGATTTTCAGATAGTGCCCATAAAGATTACACAGGATGCTGTGACAGCAGAGGAGGGGCAGCAAGAACTGTCATAAGGCGGCTCCTCTGAGGAGCAGCAGTGAACTGATCAGACCTTGGAACCACTACCGTCTTCCTTCCTGTCTGTACGCTGAGCTTGAGCTCCCTGTGCTCCAGGTAAGGCCATGCCTTGCTGGCAGGATGAAAGTGGGCCCAGAGCTCCGGTTTTCTAGGGGGATCACATACTCTATCTCACCCTTCAAGCCCTCCTGTCATTCTTCATCACCCAGATTTTCATCTTCGTGTACATCCCCTACTGTGACTTCCATCTCCCTCTCCTCCCAACTGCAGAAACTCGTTCACTTTACCCCTTAGAATTCAGCAAGACTCACCCCCACTGCGTCCTCCACCTCTGCTTTGAATATTCCCTTCACCTTCTTTCCTAGTGGCCTTGCAGTCCTGCTTCCCCTATCATTCCCCTCCTACCACTACCACGAGGTTCAGGTAAGATGTCCTCCTTGCCCCTCAATGCTACCTCCAATGGTGTCCTCTAAAACCCCTGCAGAAGGCTGATGCTATCAGTCTGTTGTACCTACTAACCCTGGGCTGGCCACCCAACTGTTCCTCATCACAGAGCTGGCTCATGGTCAGCCCGCCCTCGCCGTTATTCTGGTCATAATTCTTAGTGATTTCACTAGCCATGCAGATGCTGCTTCCAGTAACCTGGTCTCTCATTCTTTGACTTCTCCAGTGGTCTCATCATCCTTACCTCAGCCATCCACCAGTCCTGCAGTCATATCCTAGACCTTGCTTTTTGTTTGTTTGTTTGTTTTAAAGAGACAGGGTCCCACTCTGACTCCTGCCTTCCCAGTCATGCCTAATGCCCCCAGTGCAAGAATTCCAACCACCACAAGGACATACAACCTACTGGCTCTACTACCTTTATCACTGTCCTTCCACCCTACTCATGTCCTTAATTCCTCCCTACCCAGCTTAGATTATTTTTATTCACTCCCTCGCCCCCATTGTCCCACCATATTCACCTGGCAAAACCCCTCCCTTGTTAAATTTAACTGTTAACCAGACTCTGCCTACACCATTTAGCTGAATATGGCCGGAGAAAAACATACAACCCTGCTGGCCCAGATCACACCACAGACCTCAAATGAACTGGCGTTCTCCGGCAAATGTATTACATTTTCTCCATTTACTTTGTAATGAGACATCGCATACCTTGGTGCCCTTCTACAAGTTCCAGTATCTACTCTTCCCCACTTTCCTGTCACCGGATGACCATATTGTTTCAGTAA